ACAGGGATCGTTTATATCTGCATTTTTATCCATGAGGTATGTACATGAATCAGTTGATGTACAAAGCAATATTATGATAGATTATTATTATAGGTATAAAGCCATGTACATCAAGCCAAAAGCAAGCCTTGACCTTCAGTTTGTAATTAAACGTAATTGCTCAACTTTTCGGGTCAAAATGAAACAGAAAACAGTTGCTAAAGAAAACACTAACAGCAAAATAATGAAGCTAGAATGATGAAGCTTTAAAAAATCACAGAAACAAAATGAGATTGAGAAAGACCGATATTTTAAGGAAATAACTTTTGACTTGATTAAAAATAAAATACAGAAGTTTTTTTTTCGTGTTTTTAACAATTTCAAAATTTCGAGTGCGATTTAAGTATCTAAGTGCTAGTATAGGACTTGAGATCATACTTGAGGAATGATTTTGGCAAGAAATAAATCAATTCAATTCAAAAATGTACTCCACTAAAAATATCGGCCATTAAAGTGTATTATCCAGCATAATATCAGCAAAAATACATATCAGTCCTAGAATTCGTTGGAAAAATTAGATAAAATGCATAACACACTAAATTGGTACATAAAAACACCAGAAATACAATTTTACATAATTATATGGCACTTAACAATTAAATTCAACTTAACAGATAAAAAAAAGAGAGATGCCCTAAATAAACTCAGAGGTTTAAAGAATTGGTCAAGCACTTGATTTCTCGCCAACAGTTCATCTGGTACTTTCCACTTTACACATTAATTGCAATCAATTCTTAATAAACCTCTGAAACCGTGTTCACTGTATATTGAACGATATCAATTTATAATTCTGTACAGTGCTTGGTTTAATGCATATAATACAAATGTCATTAACAAATGTACACAATCAACAATATTCATTCAGTTGCATCAATAGAAATGATGTTATAAATGAGCTGCGTTTACAAAAGTAGCTTTCAATATATACCTCGTTGTGGGGGTGTATCCTGCCTATTTAAGCTATATTAATTGCGGGATCATAAAAAATCAAACCAATACAAAGCCATTCAGCATTTTGATAAACTTTCACAAAAATATCAGTCTTATATAGTGTAAATGAGACATGCATTGTGGCATATGAACAAAGAATCAAAAATACAAGTTCTTAAAGACGGTTTTGAACTCCTAATCATGATTGAAGACACATTTAAGTGTTAAATTTTTTTATCTCCTTTTACAGGACGGGTTACAATAAAGGTTGTTGTTCTCCATTAAAATTTTTATAAAAGTTTAGTTCTTCTCCAAATTGTTTTGAAATTTTCTACTTTATAAAAATTATCAAATATTGGGCATTTCTTGCATTTAGATATTAGAATTACTTCAATATCTAAATGGAATGTTAGCCCTTGGCCATATTTCCACATACGAAGATGCCAAGCATGGGAAAAAGGCAGCACAAAATTTAGAATAAACGCTGAGTTAATCAATGATGATATAAAATTAACTTTTCTAAGTGCATGTGTGAAAAATGACCAAATTCTTTGAGCAAAAGATGACGTGTAAAGAAAATGAGAAGCACCATTTCAGCCCCAAAACTTCAAGGAATATTTTTTCAGCTACATCTGATAAAGAAATTATTATTTTTCCTATTTCCGTTTTTTTCTTAAAAAACAAATAACATAATACTCAGTCTTATGCTATGTTATAACATCTACACATAACATGGTAAAATTGAGATACTGTACAAAATATCAAGTTAAAATTAACTTCCACCGGTTTTTAAAAGGAAGGGATCTTCAGAAAGCAACTGTATTTAGATTGATATGGATGCTATCTGAAGTCTTGCTTTACTCCTTATATATATATAGTAAAAATGAAAAAATAAAAGGTTTAGCACTATTTTAAAAGATGAAAGGGAATAAAGAGTTAAGAGAATGTTAAATAACAAATCAATAACATTAGAAACATCTAACAAACAACATTATTTATTATACTTATGTTAGCACTTGTCACATGAACTACATACACTACATTAACTACAGACTACATGGATTTAAATAATTCCTAATCATGTTTTATTCACAAAAACGTTGATAATGACCACTGATAACAAAATTCATGAAATGTCCTATCCACTTGGGCGGTAGTCCATAAACATGTCGCAACCTATAGGACTTGTGTAGATTAAAAATAGAATTTTGTGACATTGACTCACTGACAATGCTGTTGCTAATTAATATTACAGACAATGTTCAAAAACTGATTAACAGCTAATAAATTAGTGTGGTTTTGATTGGAAAAATGGTTTCTGGCAATTTGCAATTGCGATGCATTCATTCATACCTCGCCACGTTCAGTTTTTTGATTGTTAGACTCTTAAACAAAATATTGAATGTGAAACAAATACATCACAAATAATGTGGAAAAGCAAAAGATATAAAATATAGCACTATAAGATAATGGTGAAATTGTTTGGTGTTAAGTTAAATTAATGATGTACAAGATAATTTCTTTATGACATCAGATGATGAGTGAAAATATTAAATTAAATTGATCAATTTCAGGTTATAATGAGAACTAATATATAATTAGGCCGATTTAGTTAATTGCCCAAACACTCCAGTCTAGTCTTGACAATAGCTTTTAGCCAATCAAAATACTATGCAATATAATAGACTGTATTGCACAAGAACCTATATACTCCACCCTTTGTTTAGACTGTGGGTAAGACCAGTGTTGGGGCATGGCTTTCAGCTGTAAGAACCATCAAGTATCTGCTATTCAAATATTAGTTAAATTCAAATCAAATTCTAGGTAAGTATAACATATAGAATTATTAAAAGTATTTGATCCTTTAGTAGTCATTAAAGTTATAATTAAATGATGTTTTGCTTCTATAAAGCTGCCATTTCCATGTAAAAAATGTTGCTAAAAATAAAATCACACCGGTCAAGTACAGCCTTAAGTCAAAGTTTCCTTGTTAAGTTTGACTTAACCAAGAAACTGAGCTTTTTTCACTGTCCAAATTATGCTCAATAGTCCAGTCTAACTGGTAAATGTGGCATACAATCCTAATAGAATATAATCTTATATCACTTATTTCAAATAGTTTTCTTAATAATATAATAGAGAATAGTGGAATTCTGTCCACAATCAACACAGCACCAGCGCAAAAGATGTTATCCTCCCTTACTATCAGACAGCGCTTCTCTGAAGTAATCTCTCTGATAAAATATACTTTTTCTAAATAATCTATAATAAATTAATTCATTTTAAAAGCAGTAATTAAAAATCTCCTTAAATTGATCTTGTTCTTCTCCAATAATTTAATAACAAAAAAATAAGTAAAATTTATCATTCCTTTGATAGCTTTCTGGATTGCATGGAGTTTTTCTCTAGTTTTAAAGGCAATTTGTACTGGTTTTGCTGCCTGCCAATTGACGAGCTGATCAATGATCTACCTCGTATGCATACACTTACGTATAACAAAACAGTTTTCGTGGAAAAGCGACACAAAGTGGTATTTAAAGATGAAAATGGGTAAGAGCAAGGGAATCAACTTATATATTTTTACCAAGACAAATTCCAATTGTAACAAAATGGATTGATTTGGTTAACACAAAATATTATAATTTTCTTCTATAGCACTATTTTTTAAAATCAATATTCCAATTTGTAACAATTAGCTTTAACAGAAATGAATATGACAGAAGCCTATCAACAGAATAAGAATTATGTTTAAAAAAAATAAATAAGTCAACAACATTATAATAGATATAAACACTTTCAATACTTTGAAAGTTATTTGGAAGCTGGTATTGAAAAAAGAGCTTTACAAGCATTCAATCTAGATGAAATCTTAATCAAGAAAGAAAAGAACAATAATGACAAAAAGCTTATAGCTAGAAAAAAATGAAAAAGAAAAAAAAAATACAGAAAATAGCACTCTTATACATTGAAGGTTTAAAGTCAGCTTAAAGCAGACAAAGCAAAATGATATATGTATATATAGTATTTATAATTTTGGTTGACAGCACAAATTATATTTACAATCACAAAACACTAACACTTCCCCAAATTGTTTTCTGGCTTCTGAGAAGCTTCATTGATTGGGTTTTAAAATAACTCTTAACAAAACAACACAAGACAATAAGCACAAAGGTTACATTCAATAATATACAGAAAATTTGTTTGGATAAAATGCACTAATCAATGCTAGGTCAACGAAAATATTTACCCAAAAATCGGTCATGGCACCACCAAGAAAAAAAAAAATCTAGCACTAAAATTGATAAAACGCTGGAATAGTAAAAATTTCTCAATTCTTTTTATGGAGCAGATTATCTCAGTGTTATTTCTATAGTTAAACATGGATAAAATCATTGCCATCTTAATCAAGATTTGCTACGAATTATCAAACACTTGCCCTCCATAAAAATATAACAGTGAATCTGAGTAATCTGCACCAATAAAAATTGAGTCATCTCATCTATTACAAGTGAAGATGATAAAAATTTGTTAGTTAACAAGAGGTTATCATTAATAATAATAATTATAATAAAAGTTAACAACCCTGTACACCAATACATTTGGTGAAATGTACAAATTACTATTTAAAATGGGGGAAAAATCATTAACAATTTTTTTTCCATAAAACCTTCAATGAGGTTGTGTTAGTAACATAATTTCTTGCAAAATTCTAAGCAGCATGTAAATAACAAATGCTGTCTATGTGGTTCCAAACAAAGTGTGGAGATTCCTCAAAGTTATCCTTCACTCACATTACTATAAATGTTAATATGCATAAGCCACTCACAATCCCTTCTCCAACATGTCCTTTTACAGTTACTGCATATTTTGAGTATTAATAGCATATTTTGCAAGTTCTTCACAACAACTTTGACTAACGATTTTCTTCATCATAGTCAAAACACAAGAAAAAATTAATAAAAAATCCCAACAATTTTAGACACAAGTCAACAATATTAATAAATGTGTGAAATTGAAAAACTGAGCAATATTCAATGATTAGAAGCTGTTGTGCTATTGGTGTCCGTATCTGCTTCATGAAGCAACCGGGCTTGTCGATTATCAACACACTTTCGCATGTGTTTTTCTAAGGTGCTGGCAACTGAGAAGGGCATTGCACAAAACTTGCAGCGATAAACATCCTTTCCCATACGACCATGTGTGCGCTTGTGTCGAGTTAACTTACTCGACTGCGCACATGCATAATTACATAGTTCACACTTGTATGGCTTTTCTCCTGTATGACTTCTCCTATGAACAGTCAGGTTACTACAATTCCTGAATATTTTACCACAATACTCACATGTATCATTACGTAATGACTTACGAGGTATAGGTGATGGTCCATTTGATGGTGAGTGTGATACACTGGGTCCAGGTTTCGGCAAACCTACTGATTTCAAGGCACTATCTTGAGATGCTGCCAAGCCAAAGCCATTTAGGTGTGGCTCACGTCGAAAATCATGATTGACGCCAAACGGTGGAGAGAAGCTTGAATAGAAATCCCTGAGTGGACCCCCAGGACCAGCTGGATACCAATATCTTGAAAAAATGGTGGCATCCATACTATTATGAGGTGGTTCATTGGGCTCCCTCTTGACAGAATTAAATTTATCAGGATGACCAAATAAGTGGTTTGGATGATGAGGCATGAGTAAATTAGGAGATCTATGTTCTTCTATTTTTATATTCTCCTTACTCCTACTCTCCACCGATCCAGTTGGTGAACTCCTTGGTTTAATATCCTTTTTCTCATCCTTCTCATGGTTCTCTTTAGGTTGTTCTGGTTGATGCTCTTTGTGCATGCTATTCTCTTTCAAAGCTTGTTGAAAAGCATCACTGTATGAAGAAATATTACTGAGACCAGACTGTACCATGACTTCACTTAGTAAGCTTGGTTTGTCTGGTGTTCCTGAATCAGAGCGAGATCTTGGAGTCTTCACATCTCTATCATGGTCTCCATTCAGTTCATTACCGTACTCAGGTTTGTTCTCCAGCTTTTTAAGCTCCGTTTCATGAGCTTCACCATTTTTGATATATTTTGAATCATCATTGTAGCTACCATACACCTCATTTTCTTCTCTTTCGTCCTCCATCTCTTCTTCCTCTTCCTCGTCCATTTCGTCTTCTTCTTCATCATCATCTTCTTCATCTAGATTGTATCCAGCTTCTCCTAGTTTGCTCATAATAATACTATTATTATCTGGAGTACTACTAGTAGATGGTATACTACCGTCAGAACACGTAGATGGATTAGATCCATGTGAGTTAGCTGACATGGGTGATTTGTTGTTCAAGTGAGTCTTCATGTGGCGTTTTAATTTACTCTGCTGTGTACATGCATGAGGGCACAGAGGACATTTGAATGGTTTCTCCCCTGTATGTGATCGTCGATGTACAATGAGGTTGCTTGGAAAGCGAAAAGACTTTCCACAAAACTCACATGATTTAAGTTTTGGAGACATATTTGATCCTGATTCTGAAGACATTTCATGAGTTGAGCTTGTCACTGGTATATGAGGTGGTGGATTGGAGTCTCTTGATTCTCTAGACTCCCTGGATTCTCTGATTTCACGAAAATCTCTTAGATCTCTAGGTGCTGCCGATGGGGAGTAAGGAGGTCTAGGTGGAGTCTGATTGGGTCCTGGGGGTGAGCCTGTTGTTGATGCCAACTGCTGCAATCTTTTTGAGTAAAAATCTTCAAGAGACAAAGGTCTTTGTCCACCAAAAGGGCTGGTCGGCCCGAAAGGACTATGATGCATACCCAATCTATGACGCAATTGAAAGGGATCATTCATGTCCAGAAAATCTAATCCTGGTGGACGGCTAAAAGGGCTGATAGCTCCATGTGAGTTGGGTCGATCCATTGGCATTCTGAACTGAGGGAATATATGAGGAGGGTGAGTAAACGGTGACTCATGTCCAGATGTTGGTGGTGTTCGTTGCTCTAGGTTGAGACGAGGTGAAGGAGTAGATAGGTCTGGTCTCATGGGTAAAGTGAAGATCTTGATTCCATGTTCCTTTTGTGCATGCTGAACAAGTTTCCAAGCTGAATTAAATGGTGCTTTACAGGTATCACATATGACTTTAGTTGGCTCTGAAAAGATAAAAAAAAGAGGCACAGTTAATGTATAGTTACTTTTGATGCTAGTATTTGAATATTAAATAATCTTAACAAACTGAAGAATAATGCATAACATTAAAATATGAAATTGTTTGGAAAGATCTTGTTCCCATTCTATACATTTCAAACCATTACAAGTTATCTAAAATCAAACATAGATAGTCCCATACTAATTGAAAACTACTACATTGAGCAATGGTTTGAAACCAAAATGAATCCAACAAATTATGTCGTTGATAATTCATATTACCATGTCACTATGGGCCAATATTATTAACAGTAAAATCTTATATCATGATTAGCTTCGGCCTCGTTCAAGACATACAATATAATCAAAACATTGCCTCTAAAACTCACATTATATTCTTTGTTCAAAATGAAATGAAATTAAAGTAAATTATAAGAGAATTATCTAAGAGGGCTTGAGGGTTATGAGATATGCCACCAGTCTTTTTTAAACTGATAGATATAACAGGCAGCTAGTAGCTATATTTTCTCACTTTGTGCCAGACACATATTTCTTGGTATCAGTAAATTTCAACAAAAGATAAAAAAGTCTGGAAATAGACTGTCTGAGATTTTTGGTACTTTAGTCTAACCAATGCCAGTGCCATAACATTAATACTGGTAATCAGTAGTACTGGTACTTGAAATGTTCTCTCTACCTCTCCCTTATTACAATTTACATACCATACTTTTCAGCCAACACTTAATCTACTTGAAATATTGTATCTACAATCTTAGGATAATGAGAAAATATATTTAGCCAAGTAATATACTTTAAGTGAGCTCAGATGTAATGAATACCACCACAGGCTTTGCCTAACTAAATTAAATGATAATTTCCAAGAAGAGGTGTACACTTTTAAAACTTCAAAAGCAGCTGACTGGAAAATGGAGAATGGTAAAATAGAGATGTAAATATTGTACATTTTCTGCAACAAATTATTACACTATAATTATTTTACGCCTCATAAAAGACACAATTTTGTGATTCTTAAACTTTCTATTACTCTACCCCAATTATAACCTATTCTGTTTAGGTTTCAACGCTGATCATCCAGAATCATTTTAATAATACTGCTATTTATAATGTTTAGAATTTCAAATTTCAAGTCCCTTGTAGATGCAAATATTAGGGTTTTTTATAATTTGGAATGAAATGAAAAGACAATTAGACTAAATAATTAATAAACAGAAAAAACTTGGCAAAACATCATATTGTACTTTACAGTACTGACCTACTAGTTATTCATAGTAAATGGTTACAGTTATTCTAGTAAATAGCCTTTAGTTTTTATTATCTACAAGAAAGTAGAGATTTTTTGACCAGGTCACCTCTACTCAATCTATAGGTCAGGGTATATACCACATAACTAGTGTGTTATTTAATCAGGCAACCAAGCAAAAAAAGAAAAGGCCTTTCAGTTGTATAATTTGGGGGTCAAATTTCAAAGTCACAAGCCATTTCAAACAAAAAGAACCCTAAGCTTGATTTGGAAATCTGCAACGCTTTTCCTAATAGAATACAGTCAAATTGAATACTTTCTGTATCTTAATTTATTTTAGAGAAGTCAAACAAAACCATTTATTTCTGATTTTTTTCTTAAACAAAACGGTCATTTATCTGACATGGTTGCTTTAAGCATTTATAAAAGCTAGTAATTTATGTCAAACTATTTTAACAGTAGTGGTTTAGTAATACAAAAGTAATAACTAGTTTGGACCAAAATGTCCTGAAATGCCCCAGCTAACTGTCACTTCAAAGCCTCTCTTTATGGACACATAGAGTAATAAATAACCCAACCTTTCAGCTAAAATATATGTCTGCAAAATAACTTCTAATGGCCTTAACAGAAGACATAATCAAACATAAGACGCCATGATGACTTTAACTGCTAGAGTTATATGAAACTTTAAAAGCAGAAATAGTAATACGTTAAGTAATGAGAAAACATTAATCAATATTAATTAGAAAAGAAAATGGCCACGGACACAATCACAAAGAAAAGGGCATTTCTCTGGCATTGATTTTTGTACTTATCCTTCAGCTTTCTTTAAACTGAACTAACATTTTTTTACAATAGCATATTAGAAAGTTATACACATGTTGTATATGGTACTAGGCAGACAGACAGTCTGTGAGACTCAAGCCAAAATGACTTGTGGTAAGGAGCCTTTCTGCTATACAAGATGTTTTAGTGTTCTGTAAATTTCAGAGGTAACTCATATCAAACAAAACCAATTGTGCTTAAATGATCTCTTGTCAGATGAATCAAATTGTGGTTTATCGACCTGTCAGACAAATTAAGAATGTGGTTTATTGACCACTTGTCAGACAAAACAAATTGTGGTTTATTGACCACATGACACATATTGTGGTTCATTGACCTGTCAGACAAATCAAATTGTGGTTTAGTGACCACTTATCAGACAGAATAAACTGTGGTTTATTGACCACTTGAAACAAATTGTTGTTCATTGACCTGTCAGACAAATCAAATTTTGGTTTAGTGACCACTTGTCAGAAAAAACAAATTATGGCTGTATGGTAGATATTTTCTTTTTTATTTGAAAGGTGTTTGTATGATCCCCAAAATAATCCCAGAAGAAGGAGTTAAACTCTACCATTCTGCACCTTAGAGACAAATCTGGCTGAACGAAAAATCCTTAAGATACCTGTATGGTTTTACAACATGTTTTAACTATTATCTGTAATTTTAGTACAGTAAATACAACATGTACCACTCTCTGATGTGAATATGTAACCGTTTCAGTTTACAAGAATATCTTTGATTGTTTTCTTCCACTTTCAAATCATTCCAGATGTAATAATATAATATAGTTTATGAGCACAGAACGAGCATTTCTTTCTGACTTTCAAATTTCAGTTGGTAACTTGAGTAGGAATGATGTACTCTTTCATACAACTGTGTGTAGAAATACAAAATAATGGCAGCAGACATTTTCCTCTCTAACTTCACCCTAAAAAATGTTGATTGGTCTCAGTCTCAGACTGAAGTCTTGAACTTGAGCCAAAGAGGCAGTGATGCTATGGACATGAAGCTATATCTTCTGACAACTGTGTGGCCTCATCAACTCAAGTGCTGCACTGAACTAACTAGGCTGCAAATATCTTTACTTATTAGACTATACAGTAATGACTTTTCTGGTAAGTCAAGTTAAAAATAACCCTCAAACCAAGGTGAACTAGGCCAAATAGTGAACTGGTTAAAACATGTGTGGTCTGGAAGCTGTAATATTTAAACCACTGGTCTGGTCTGGTCTACCTGTTAATTCCAGACTTAGTTTTAAAATAAGAAACAGTTCACGCTGTGAGCATTCATCATTAAATAAAATACAATAGTTTCTGATATTTACTTCATCACACAGATATTACATAACCTAAAAAGAACTTATCTCTTGGTATAACTTGGCATACCGAGTTATCTGCTTCTAAAATCTGATAAAATAGCCATAAACACAAATTTAGTTATCTCAGACTGATCAAAGCTTGGTCAAATTTAGCTGTAAATGTTGAAGTTGAATACATAAGCTAACAATATATTATTGATTAAATATATTAACAATTATAATCATAAAATGATGATATTGTTAATATTGTTAACTATTTCTAAAATAAAGATCTAACTGAGACCATCATGAATTAGCTAAAATATCTAGATTTGGTAAACAGTTTTATGAAGAATATACATTCTGATTTTATTTCATCATGATAAATTTTATATTTTGGCTAATCAAATTGGATTGTAAAAGGGGAGTGATTTTGGTTCACATGTTACATTGAATCCTGGATCTTTTAGATTATTATTGCCGATTTTCAAGATAAAATCTGTCATGATTCAAATAAGATCAGGTATATTACTATGTGAATATGAAGATGGTAGAAATAATAATGTTTTATTTATCAACTGGTAATAAAAAATGTTATTTTAGCTGGTGTTTATTTAGAAATGTCTCGTCATATTTATCTTATACTTAATATTAAGATTATCAATTACAATATATTTCAAGATCAGAATACAATTGTAATCATGTATCAGATATAGTATGTCTCATAATACAGTTTTATTATGTTCATGTGTAATAATTAATGGACACATATTGTATCATTTAGATTATCTTTGAAAATACATTGTAATTTGTAATCATGTTTCACATAATATAGTATTTTCAAAATACATTGTTATTTGTATTGTAATAAATACATGTATGTAATCATGTATCACATAAAGTATTTTCAAAATACACTCATCATGTATCACAATAAATACATGTTTATGATTATGTATCACATACAGTATTATCAAAATACATTATTAATACATTATTATTATGTATTTCAATAAATACATGTATGTAATCATGTATCACATAAAGTATTCTCAAAATACATAGTCATCATGTATCACAATAAATACATACAAACATATAGTATTTTGTATTGCCTATATCTTGTTACTTATTATATAAAAGTAAAAGTATCTTAGAAAAAGTGTGTTTCTGAAAATCTGAATCTGTCTAAGGTCAAGTTATGAATATTAGTGTCTAATTTTAGCCCAAATTATACCTTATTCAGTTCAACCTGTACATTATATTTTTTTTTCGGCCACCCATAAATCTTTTGTGGTCAAATATAGATGACCTAACTAGCCTAGAGCCAGTACTTATGGACCAGATAAAGGTTTAAATGGCCAGCTATCAAGTTAGTGTGACCAATGACATAAATTTTGATGGATGACTTTGTGACATCAAAGACTGTCCACTTTACACATATAAAGACTTTTCTACAATAACACTTAGTACAGTCATTTGTTATGAATACAAAATGTAAAGGTGTAAGGATAGTGGTAATATATAAGGTTTTTGCTATATTTTAAGAGTTGAATATGACTTATTGCTCAGTGAGGTGAAATCCTTCTAAGCCATAAGCTT